GAATAAGATAAACACTTACGTTTTAGACTGTTGTGCCTTTTAGACCAGAATACAGAGTGACATACTATACTGTAGGCAGTACTAGGCAAATGTTATGGATGCAGATGCCCTCCTAACTTACTCTCCCTATCCTTCAAATGATGGCAACCCTAGTTCTCATCTTCTAGGATTATTGCAAATACCGAGCAGTTGTCCAAGGACACAATTTAGTCCGCGGTCAGCCATCACTGAAAAATCAGGAGCAATTTTACAATTTTTATTATTGGTGTGCTTTTTAAATATATTATGGGATGCTTTTCATCACCAATTCTGGCTAATCTTCTTAAATGCCAAATACAAGTTATTTATAGCCCTTGTTTCTAAAACTGAGTAAGTCTATAGTTTTAGAGTAAGAATATAGCAGGCTACCTTAAATGTGTGGCTACTGAGTTTAACCTAGTTCTCCCTTCTTAAGTATACATGGAGAGTTTTTGTTCTCTTTCAGTGATTTATGGAAAATTCACAAATCCTACTAAAATATCACAGTATACTGTGCTTTGTATATTCTTTACTCCTTTATGTCCCCATAGCCACACTACTATTCTGTGTGTTATCACACGCCCAAGGTGTGGTAACTGTGCTCTTCTTCCACAAAACTATAACTTTTAACCTGGTTTAGGATGGTCTCTCTATGCCCAAAAGAGTTAGTAATCATTTTATTTTTTTAAGAATGCTCTTGTTCGGGGCTGGGAAGGTGGCTCAGTGGTAGAGCACTTACCTTGCATGCATGAGGCCCTGGGTTCGATTCCCCAGCACCACATAAGCAGAAAGAAAAAAAAAGCCTGAAGTGGCTCAAGTGGTAGAGTGCTAGCCTTGAGCTGAAGAGCTGGGGGACAGCACCCAGGTGCAGAGTTCAGGCCCCACGACTGGACCCCAAAAAAAAACAAAAAAAAGAGTGCTCTTGCTAAGCACTGGTAATTTATGCTTGTAATCCCAGCTACTCAGGAGGTTGAAATCTGAGGATCCAGATTTGAAGCCAGCCTGGACAGAAAAGTCTGTGAGACTCTTATCTACAATTAACTCATAAAAGCCAGAAGGAGGGTGTGATTCAAGTGGTAGAACACCAGCCTTGAGCATAAAAGGCCAAATGAGAGCCTTAAGCCTTGAATACTGGTGGACTCATGCACATGCATGAGCATGCACGCACACACACACACACACACACACACACACACACACAAGCACTATTATTTTCAACATGGTTCTACATTGGAGAAATATTAAGATTTGAACATAAACTTCTTTCCCTGAGAATCCATACTTTGGCCAGGAATCATTTCTGACTTTCCTGAATTTATTCATGTATTCAACAAATATGCACAGGGCATCTGTGGCACAGACATAGACACTAAAGTATGTAGGGGAGCAGCAGATACAGAGACATACATCCCAACCCTCGAGGCTCCCACAGTCTCCTGGAGTTCTGATGAGCTATGAGCAAACCATCACATGCAGGGTGCTAGGTGAAACAAGAGAGGGACTAGGGTTCTAAGACAGCATTAGAGCCTTCGAAGCCTATGAGGGGGCAATGACACCCAGCTGGAAGTGGAGTAAACAACTAAATGGAAGCCGAAAGACAGGGGGCCATGGGCTTTCCAATGAGAAGCAGCAGTACATCTCAACTAGCCTGGTCATGGAAGGGGACAGAGTGGGCTGAAGATGAGAGTCCGAGTAACCATGCCTGGTGCCTGGAGATGGTAGGGACAGTGGTACTGTTGTGGTTTGCATTGTCATAGCAACACCATTGTGTAGGGTGCACTGTAGTAATGAGGTGAGAAGCAGTGGAAACGCTCTGGATTGTCCTGCTGAAACCCAGCTTAGAATTTATGATCCAAGATGGTGATGGTACCAGAGAGTAAAAAGGGCAGGACATGTGTCTGTGTTTACGAAACAGATCCAACAGGACACAGCAACTTTGTGTGTTTGTGAGAAGGAAAAAAGGAGTCTGGAACAACTCTAGTGGCCCTGGTTTGGAAACTCAGTGGTCCTTGTTTCAGAGAGAGGAGAGAGAGAAGCAGGTGAAAGTGTGGGTTGGCATAGGGCACCAGCTAGTCCTTGGCAACTGGCAATCCTTAAGGCATCTTGGATGCATTCAGGAGAGGGTGGGAAGGTGAGCAGGGCTGGAGGTATGATATGGATGTCTTCAGAACAGTGCAGAGCCTGAAGGTTGCATTCAGCCCATTGGGAAACAACGATTATGCTGGGTCTGAACTGAGATCCACCAGCTGAGGTGAGAAACCCAAAGGGCCATGAGGAAAGCCAAGGGCCAGAAGTCTCAAGGAAGAATCAGAGCTGGCTCCACAGAGAACAGAAAGCCCCAAATCCTCCAAAGGAATTTAGAGCTGGAAGGCCATTGATGATTCTGGTGAGAACAGTTTCATTGAAGGAGCATAGGCCAAAGCCAGGCTACCAGGGTTTAAGGTGTAAACAGGAGACAAGAAACAGGCAGAGTTGGAGCCCAATTTAAAGTTTTGATGTGATGGGAAGGGGGCTGGAAATTGAAGGTCTTTATGAATTTGCAATGGAATTTGTTTACAAGCTTGAGAGAAGCAAGTGGGTAGGAAAAGACAGGTTAAAAATGAAGCAAGAAAGCCGGGCGCTGGTGGCTCACGCCTGTAATCCTAGCTACTCAGGAGGCTGAGATCTGAGGATCGCGGTTCAAAGCCAGCCCGGGCAAGAAAGACCCTGAGACTCCTATCTCCAATAAACCACCAGAAAACCGGAAGTGGCTCTGTGGCTCAAGTGGTAGAGCGCTCGCCTTGAGCTGAAGAGCTGAGGGACAGCGCCCAGGCCCAGAGTACAAGCCCCACGACCGACAAAAAAAAAAAAAAAAAGAAGCAAGATGCCAGGCCCTAGTGGCTCACACCTGAATCCTAGCTATTGAGGCAGCTGAAATTTGAAAATTGTGGTTCAAAGCCAGCCTAGGCAGCAAAGTCTATAAGACTCTAATCTCCAGTTAACCAGCGAAAAAAAAAGCCAGAAGTGGTGGCGTGGTTTAAATGGAAGGCCACCAGCCTTGAAGCAAAAAGCAAAGCCAAGAGCCCAAGCACTGAGTTCAATCCCCAGAACCAGCAAAAAGAGAGAGAGAGATTAAAAACAGAATGAGACAAGTGCTGGAAGCGGCAAAAGAGAAGGCTGACAGAAGGAACGGCCTCAACTCCAATATCAAGGTAGAGGACAGGGACCGAGGCGATAGCAGGGAGCCCAGCGTGGTGTCTGTGGGCAGGAGCACAGACCAGGCCATGCTGAAGTGAAGGAAGATGTGAGTTTGGAGTAAACGATGGATTGGGGGCTTGAAAGCCACTGCGCAAAGGCTTGTGGGACACGCAGCCGGCCCAGGCCCGCAGCCCAGGCCGACCTCCATTTGTAAGGGTCTACGGAAATGATCGCGGCTTGAAGCTGGAGTCCACGGCTAGCGCCCAGTCCCCTGAGCATCCCGCCCCCTGTGGAATATCCTCCTGCTCAGTCATGGTAAAGGACAACAGGTGCCGGCCAGCTGCCCTCGGCTACAAGGCCAAGTTGGAAGCCATAGGGTCTTCTGGAAAAAGTAGTAGAGCTGTTCGGGAGAACTGAAAACGAGAGAGACGGGGGCTGGAAGTAAAGACAGAAGACGTGGGTGCACTGGAATAGTCTAGAAACTGAAGGAACAAAGGCGGTGTGACTGGTGAGCCCCTCAGATGCTCCTCCCCGATAGAATATGCATGATCCCGCGCGAGTCCCCGCCGCCCGCCGGGGAGCAGGGAGGCGTCGCGGCGAGGGCGTGGAGCGCGCGCTCAGACGCACTCGCGGGCGCGGGGTGCGAGAGAGCCACGCGGCCCCGGGGCGGCGCAGCGGGCGGCGGGCGGCGGACCGCGGGCCAGCGAGTAAGTGCCACGGCCCTTCCTCCCATTTGGGCCCCTCAGGCGTCCGGCGGGCCGCTAGACCCCACCCCCGGGCTTTGAGCCCGGGCTGCGCGCAGAGCTAGCGACCCGGACCCGGACCCGGGAGGGGGCGCGCGTCCGCTGCTAAGGTGGAGCGGTGTGAGGGCCAATCTAGCAGGTGGCCACGGCCCGAGCTGGAGGGGGAATCCCATCGCACGATCTGTCCCTCCTGGCCGCCGTGGCCATCACCCCGGCGGGGACCCGGCACCCGGCCGAGAGCGCAGCCCCCTCGGGATGGCCGCTGGGAGGTACTGAGGAGTGCCGGGCGCGGGTGTGCGACCTGAGGGCGCAGCGCCACCCCGGCTGTCTCCAGCAGAGCCCGGCGCCCTCAGCCCCTGGTCCCTGTGAGTTGTACGATGTTTACCAAGGACGTTTAAAACATTCTTTTCTTTTTTTAAAAAAAAAAAAGGCATTTTTACTCAGCGCGTCTTCCTTCCATCATTTTTCCTTCGCGGTGGGCAGGGGGGTGGGGGGAGAACGCCCGTGGTGACCGGGGGTCTGGGTTCGTGATCGGGGATCGGGAATAGGGGATCGGCAAACACCGAGAGACCAGCCCATCTCTTTCAGCAGCGGGGAGAGAAGCCGTCGCAGGATCTGTCGGTCTCAGCACCCGTCTCTTCCTTTGGCGCGCCTTCTCCCTGTCTGAAGTCCCTCAGAGCAGGCAGGCATGGGGTGCTTGGGCAACAGCAAGACCGCAGAAGACCAGGGCGTCGATGAAAAAGAACGCCGCGAGGCCAACAAAAAGATCGAGAAGCAGTTGCAGAAAGAGCGCCTGGCTTACAAAGCGACTCACCGCCTACTGCTACTGGGTAAGGCCGGAGGGCGCGCGGCTGCTCCGGCCCCCGGGGCGGCTCCGGGTGCCCGCCAAGTGCACAGCCGCGGAGCTTGGGGCCGAGCGGGCCAGGCCGGCGCCGAGACCCGAGACCCGACCGCGGCCTGGGAGAACTGGCCTGTCCGCGAAAACCCCATCTGGCGGGAGGATAATCTGTCCCGGGAAACGCTAGGACTCAGATGACAACGTTTTTTTCTATTTGTTCTCAGGGGCTGGCGAGTCTGGCAAAAGCACCATCGTCAAACAAATGAGGATCCTGCATGTCAACGGATTCAACCCCGAGTAAGAAGGCTCAGTCTGCTTTTCCTTCTAACCCGCATGCAAACTTTTGTCAGTTCTCTCCAGACTCCCCCAGGTGCTTTGCTACACAGTCCCTCAAAGCGAGGAATTAGAAATTGGCCGAATTAGAATTAGAACTGAATTAGAATTATGAATTAGAATTGACACAAGGAATTAGAAATTAGAATTTGCGCTGTTTAGTTAGGCAAAATCTTCTTTTAGCGGTGTTTAGCTAAGACATAACATCCTTAGAAAAATAATTCCTTAGGTACTCTAGGGTTGCCGGTCTGTAATATTGCTGTTGCTCTGAGCATTCCATTTCCATCCTTCATCCATTGGGATCTGACACCCCACACACTCCATACCAAAATCTAGGGTTCCAATGCTGTATGTAAAATGGCACAGTATTCTCCTTGAATCTCTAGATGACCTGTAATACCTAATACAATGTAAATGCTAGGTAAATGCTAGGTAAATTTAGTTATCCTAATGACAAGGAAAATCATTGTTATCATTTAGTTATCCTTAATGTTATCTTCCGTGATGCAGGAAAAGTCTACATATGTTCAGTACAGATGCAAGTTTTTAATTTTTTCAATCATTGGTTGGTTGAACCCACTAATATGGAACCACCCAATATAGAGAGCTAACTGTGTCTCTTTCTAGTATCATTTAAACTTAAGATTATCAACATGTCAATAATGAGCATAACTGTTGGGTTGTGTTTATATGCAAAACTCATAATAATTTTGCAATATTTGTGAGCTGAAGGGGTTTTGAAAGATATAGGTTATAAAATGAAGCTTATTTAAAGCACAAATTAGAAGATAGGAATATTTTTATTTCCCAAGTAAAATCTTTGCAGATGTTGTCTTGGGAGTTGATACTGACTTGTAAGTCAAACCAGACCCTGCTGTTGCATGGGAAATCTGAAATCTTACTGAATTGATTTCAATTTGTGAAGGGTGAATTAAATTGATAACAACTCTCTTTCAATACAGGGAGAAGAAACAGAAAATTCTGGACATCAGGAAAAATGTCAAAGATGCTATTGTGGTAAGGACCTTTTTCTCTTAGTGTTTGTTTACCAGAAAGATTACTCTGTGCTCAGAAATTGCATAGGCAGAAATGACATATTTCAGATTATCATACATGGAATCTACATGCTCCATTTCTCCATATGGTTTTATTTCTCTCATTTTAGACAATTGTCTCAGCGATGAGTACTATCATACCTCCAGTCCCACTGGCCAACCCTGAAAACCAATTTCGATCAGATTATATCAAGAGCATAGCCCCAATCACTGACTTTGAATATTCTCAGGTAAGTCAGTTCTCGCTGAAAATTTTTAAACAGGAAAAAAAAAATGGAACCACTTTTTATGAAGTGGCTTAAAATTGAGAATCAGCATTGATACTGGTTTATTAACTTTCTTCAAAATCTAGCTCTATGTGAAATGCTTCCTCTATTCAAAATTAAATGCTCTTGAAACTTATTAAAGACAGTAGGATTGGGCTGGGAAGGTGGCTCAGTGGTAGAGCACTTGCCTTGCATGCCTGAGGCCCTGGGTTCGATTCCTCAGCACCACATAAGCAAAAAGAAAAAAGCCAGAAGTGGCGCTGTGGCTCAAGTGGTAGAGCGCTAGACTTGAGCTGAAGAGCTGAGGAACAGCGCTCAGGCCCAGAGTTCAAGCCCCATGACAGGACCAAAAAAAAAAAAAATTAAAAAGACAGTAGGATTATAAGAAATGTTTTGATCAATGTATGAGTAGCTGGTGATCAGCATATTGCTTTTCCTGTATGTTTCTTTTTCTTTTTTTAATGAACAATTAAGGATTATCCCAGACAACAAAACCTTATGGTTCATAATTGCCTTTACGTGAATAACAGAAAGAAAACAATTTGGCTTATTCGTAGGCTATGGATCTGTTAGATGATTTAAGAGAATGTGTTAGGTATAGAACCCAGGCCACCTGACCATTGCATTGGCGTATTGTAGAAGGGCAGCTCAGCTCACCCTTGCCCCATCTTTACACAGTATGCAAAAGGACAGTGTCAGTATTGGTTGCTTTCTACATTTACATTTCCTAGAAATAATTGTTTGGTAATTTATTAAGCAGGTTTTAAGGGAAAGCTGTTTGTTAAATTTCTCAGAAAATCATTTTTGTTAGTTACACCCAAAAAGCAAAATTTTGTAAGTAGGATGTGTGTGTGTGTGTGTGTGTGTGTGCGAACACGCACATTCATTAGTGCATGCATAGATGGTATCTATCAATTCAGAGCTTTGCTGCCTGGCAGTGCCTGCAGGTGCTTGTAGCTGCCTGGCAGGGTAGCTTGGAGACATTTTGTTTCTCAGAAGTCTCTGTTCCCAGAGAACCCACACAGGAGCCAAGGTGTAATCAGAATCCCTGATCTTCTCTGTCTGCCTGAAGACCAGGTACACCTGCCTGCCCTTTCCCCTTTCAGTACAGCTGAGTGTTCCTATGGGCTCTGTATCAGGCTGGTAAATATGAATTACTTCTTGTTCATACCTGTAATCCTAGCTACCAAGAGGCTAAGAGCTGAGGATCTCAGTTCAAAGCCAGCCCAGGCAGGAAAGTCTGTAAAACTCTTATCTCCAACTAACTACCGAAAAGCCAGGAGTAGAGCTGTGGCGTAAGTGGTAGAGTGATATTCTTAAGCAAAAAATCTCAGGGACAGTGTCCTAAAACACTAAGCCCTGAGACTAACACCAAAGGAAAAAAAAAAATGTTACTTCTTTATAAAGGTATTAAGTTCTAATATTCTCTTATCTTACATATCTGTCCTCATGTTAAATCAGTGTTTTATTTATAACAAACCTATCACATTTTTTTATCACATTTCTTCTGAAAATGCTGTTTTTTATTTTAATAGGCAAAAGTTTTCAGAGACATCTATTTTGTGGTGCTTGGAAATTTCTAGATTGCTCATTTTATTAGATTATGTAGTTTTTACCAGTACTGAAGTTTGAACTCAAAGAAGGAAGGTTTGCCTTTATTGCTTGGCTGTTTTCCTTGGGACTGTCAGTCTATCACTTAAGCAACAACTTCAGCCCTGCTTCTTTGCTGGCTAGAGATGGAGTCTCTCGCACTTTTCTGCTGATTGGTTTCAAACTACAATCATTCAGGTCCCAGCCTCCTAAGTAGCAACAGTTAAAGGTGTGAGCCACCAGCACCCAGCCTAGATTCTGTAGTTCTTGGAAACAGGTTTTTGTGATCTTTGTTAAGAATGATATCAGGGCTGGGAAGGTGGCTCAGTAGTAGAGTGCTTGCCTTGCATGCATGAGGCCCTGGGTTCCATACCTCAGCACCACAGGAGCAGAAAAAGCCACAAGTGGCACTGTGGCTCAAGTGGTAAAGAGCTAGCCTTGAGCTGAAGAGCTGAGGGACAGCGCCCAGGCCCAGAGTTCAGGCCCCACGACTGTCAGAAAAAAAAAAGAAAGAAAGAAAAAAAAAGAATATCAATGATTTATATACTAATGACATCTAGTACATTTGGAGATTAACTTTTATTTAAAGGAATTATAATTCTTAAACAACATAAAAATAGAACTGTTAAATAGTGGTTTAATAGTAAATCCTACATTACTAAAGTACATTTTTGAGACTAAATCTTTTGACAAAGTTCGTCACTGTCACAAGCCAGTGACTTAAGGATATGTATTTTCATTTGGGAAAATGGTTGTTTATTTGTTTGTTTTGTTCTCTTTTTTTATGCTGCTGGGGATAGAACTCAGGGCCTTACCCATGCTAGACCAAGCACACTACAACCAAGCTACATCCCTAGCCCCAGTAAAATAACTTCTGAGTGAAATATATTCTATCATGCAAAATTAATTTTAAGGGCTTGGGGTGTGGCTCTGTGTCAGAGCTTGTGTTCAGCCTGGACAGGCCCCAGATTTGATTCTCCATGCCAAAATAATAATCACGTTTTCTGAGCCATTTAGAGTAAGAAGGAAAATGAAGAAGAATGACTTATTTGGAAATGTCTTAAGAATTTCCTCATCTGAGTGCTAGTGGCTCACACCTCTAATCCTAACTACTCAGGAGGCTGAGATCTGAGGATCAAGATTCAAAGCCTGCTTAGGAACAAAAGGCCGTGAAACTCTTATCTCCAATTAACTAGCAAAAAGCTGAAAGTGAAGCCATGGCTCAAGTGATAGAACACCAGCCTTGAGCAAAAAAGCTAAGGGAAATCGTCTTAACCCTTAGTTGAAGCCCAGTACCAAATACCATGCTTGGGTAAATTCGGGGTGAGGAGTCTACTTTTCTTCTTTTGTTCTTTGTATTACATTTCATCTAAATCCTCTGACATTAAGTTGTAAAAAGGAAAATTGAGTGGATTCTGAGAACAGAAGGTCTCTAAAGGGAGAATAAAGGAAGAGACAGACTCCAAACCTGTGGTCCAGGTGTGGGACTTTGACGCTTTGGAGGGGGCTGAGCACTAGAGATGCATGGCAAGACTCTGTTTTATCAGATCTCACAGGCTTTGGGCGACAGCACTTGTGTAAGGCAGAGGTAGAAGTCAGGCAGTCATTAATCCAGATGCAAGATAATAAGGTGATTTGGTGTGGGGTGGTGACTACAGGGACAGAGAAAAATGGCCTGAGGTGGGATTTATTTTGGAAATTGAGCCATTCAGACAGGTAAATACTTGGATGTGAATATTGAGAGAAAGGCAGAAATCAAGAATGTCTTGGGAAAAAAAAATGTTTTGGAGTTTTGGGTTACGTTGGTGACAGAAAGGTTAGAAGGAGGAAGATATGAGTTTTGTTTGCCTGATGAATAGGAGACCATAGTTTAGACATCCCAGTGTTAATGTGACACAAACAGCTGGATTTGGGGGTTGGAACATAGAGGAGAGCTGTCAGCACAGAGACAGGTGCTTCAATTAGAGGAGAGGGACAGGGAAAGCCTGGAGACCATGACTTTGAAGTTGAGAAGGAGAGCTGCCTGAATGACAGGGTGTGAAGTAGCTGATAGTACAAGAGTCAGAGCCAGGGCCAGTGCCTGAGCAGAGACTGATGGGATCCAGGACACAGAAGGTCCCCACCTCAACTCCACTGCTAAGCAGGAGTGAAAGGCAGGGCAGAGGACAAGTGCAGACAAGGCTAAGTCTTCGAGTTTGTGGTAGAAAAGTGAGTGAGAGTCTGCTTGGACGGCCTTTTAAAACCGATTGTAGCCAGGCACCCAAGGCTCATGCCTGTAATCCTAGCTAATCAGGATTCTAAGATCTGAGGGTCACGATTCAAAGCAAGGCTGGGCAGGAAAGTCTTCCAGAGTCCTATTTCCAATTAACTATCAAAAAGCTGGAAGTGGTATTGTGGGGTCATAGGGGGAGCTCTATGTGGAGTTAAGTGAAGTAAGCCAGGCCCAAAGAAATATAGGTCCCATGGTTTCCCTTATTTGCAATAACTAGTATATGTCTGAGACAAGCAGAAAAGGGCAGATAAGTTGATGTTAGTGGAATGAGCCCCAAGATAAGTATTCAAATGTTTTTTTTCTCCTTTCATGCAATTGTTTCTATCATATTTATAAGATGATTTCTATGTTGCTTTGTATGTCCCTCCTCCACAGTATAACCCATACTTTTACTGTATTTGATGTTGGTATAATTTGTGGAGGGGAAGGGAAAAAAACAAATTGTTTAACTAGGGATACAGGTGGACCCATTGCAACAATGAGATGTACAAGTTGTTAGGTCGAAAAACGAACTTAACAACTTTGGTGGGGGGTGGGAGGAGGATCGGGTGAGGGGAGGGGAGGAGTATGGGAAGGGGAAACAACGAGGAGGCAACAATGCTTAATAAGAAATGTACTTGTTGGGCCTGGGAAGGTGGCTCAGTGGTAGAGCGCTTGTCTTGCATGCCAGAGGCCCTGGGTTCGATTCCTCAGCACCACATAAGCAAAAAGAAAAAAGCCGGAAGTGGCGCTGTGGCTCAAGTGGTAGAGCACTAGCCTTGAGCTGAAGAGCTGAGGGACAGAGTTCAGGCCCCACGACTAGACCCAAAAAAAAAAAGAAAAAGAAAAAGAAATGTACTTGTTATCTTGCCCATGTAATTGTAACTCCTCTGTACAGTATTCTCACAATAAAAAAAAAATGAAAAAAAAAATAAAGCTAAAGGCAAATTGAACCACTTTAAAAAAAAAAAAAGCTGGAAATGGAGGTGTCACTCAACTGGTATAGTGCCAACCTTGAAGGAAAAAGCTAAGAGACAGCGCCTAGGCTCCAGTTCAAGCCCCAGAACCTCTACACACACACACACACACACACACACACATTTGTTAAAGCAAAATGAGAATG